CGATAGTAGAAAGCATTGACCCTAAAACAGTGGGAAATGCCACACGTCCAGACAGAATTAGGCTGATGTTCATGTGTAGTTCCTAATCTGTGTGCTTGTTTACAGTGAACATGAAGGTTATCCCGTTGTAACAGAAGACATCAGACTTTACTATCGATACACGTTTTGTTTGCAGCTGCCAAAGAATCTGTGTTGGAGTTTCTGCGATACCAGTTCTTGTACATTTGAAGACTTTTAATTATGTAAACAAGTAGCCTGTTGACTAGAAATTCAACAACAATATCAGCGATCAATTAAACTTTCATGAATAGCTGGGTTTCCGACTGATGCACACGGGAAATTTGAGTCACCACCATTTAATATTTTAATTTAAATATTACATTAAAAATATTAAATTATATTTTTAATCCTAATTTAATGAACATTCTCCTTTCACAGCAGATTTATGACTTTACGCTTTATGAAATTGCCATGTTTACTTGTGCGACTTTATCTCAGTGCTGTTTCTACACACCGATCTAGACTTAAATGATGCATACATTACATTGAGGACATTTTGAGTGCCCAGAGTAAGAATCCTCTTATCTTATTGACTTTTTGTTCCTCGAGTGCTATCATGAGATTGATCATTTGCTGTTTTGATTCAATTATCAAAACATCTCTTGGAAAGATTTCCACGAGATCTGGTGCCCAACAGCTGCCTGAAAGTCACAGCAAACCATGAAATAGTCACCAAACTCTGGTTTCTTGCTGTAGGGCTTTCTGTGGAATTTGTTCTATTGGAACCCTTGTGTTGTCCTCGGGTCAAAAATGGTCCCTGGGTGAATGGCAAACAAGTATATGGGAATCCCGAGGACAACAGTGCTGTGCTCCAGTTTCCTCAATAAAGAAAATTAAACAAATAAGGAAAATGAAGCAGTACTCATCAGAGCAGCATAGTACCTAATCCTTTTTGTTTCTTACTATTACTTACCTTTCTATTAATTAATTACTTGACCTACATCTGCCAAAATGTGAATCTCTTCATTGTTGGTAACTTAAGGCTACCTCTTCACAATGTGGAGAAAACAAAAATCTGTGAAATGGAGCTCTTTAGTTTTTCTCCTTTGAGATTTGGTCCTGATTAGGATTCATTCTAACTCTAATGCTACATATTCACCATAGGCCATATCTGAAATGTTATCCTGCTAAACTATGGGCATGATACCCATGAAACACCAGCATGCTTAGACTGTTAGCATGGAAATCTTGCTTTGCACACCTTAGTTCTCCTTTATTGCATCTTCCAAAATCATTAGTTTATAAAAATGATGAATTTTGGACCAATAATTTAGCCTGCCAACTGACAACATTAATACAAACAGCTGAATGAGATGAAGAAAACACTGGTGAAAAGGCAAATAAACCAGTTTATTAGACTTGGGAGATATCTCGTTTTGGTGAAAGATTGTTCTGAAATGTACCAGAAATGAATTTTCATACCAGATAGGGCAATTGTTGTTGTTTCTTCTCTGTCCAGCATTGCTGTCAGTGGCATCACACAGTGGAATAGATAAAGCAGTCGCCCAGAAAATCAGATGAAAGCTGAAATGAACAGAAAGGTCAGCAGTGTGGATGTATTATTGTTGTGGTCATGAGTACACTGAAGCTTCTGTGGGTCATTGCAGGAGGTGGAAGGAGATGAAGAGTATTTTGGTTGAGGATAGGTTTTTGTTACATGCTGGATCTGTAATATTTTATATTATTTAAATCAAAGCCGCCAAGTTGTCCTCGTGACCCACTTTTCACAATTCACTGCACACATTTTCTATTCTGCTAAACATTTAGTAAAAAATCCAAAAATCTGCCATTGCTGCTGCTTTCAAATGCACAGATGCACATAAGCAGCCAAGTAGAGTTACAAGAACACACACATACATGTATAAATATAAATACACATGCACACACAAGCACAAAACACCTCCTGTTGCCCAGCCTCGCTCTCTTCCTTTATGCTGTTTTTGTGTGGAAGAATGCCCACGACCCCCACCGCGATCATTACCCCCAAGGCCCTTGGGCATTCATCACCATGTGCATCCCCCTCTTTTCACCGCAGACACCCCCATCCCTCCTCTAGGCCTACTCCCCCTCTTTTGTTTGAGTCTCTGTGTCACACCATCAAACAAAGCTAGTTGTTTTGACTGCACTACACTTTTTTTTTAACATGATCTCAAACTACCTCTCTGAGACACGCATATGCAGTGAACAAAGGAAAGTAAAGCTCCTTTGATAGTGACTGATCTCCTTCATCGGAAAAAAAGTGGCCAGAGTGAAGAGTGCACTCCTATTGAGATCCAGCATGATCAGATGAATAGCAAATGACCACAACCTGTGGGAAAGGGTTGGAAGGAGGGTGGAGGTGATGAAAAGTTTAGAAAAAGAAAAGTGGGAATGGAAGAGTGATGGATGAGGAAAACTTTGACTCTCGGGGAAGAAGCGAGAAGTCTTGGGATGCAGGTGGAAAATCGAAGAAAATGTTTATTGAAGGAAAAGGAGGCTTTGAATTATGCTGGATGATTTATCAGTGAAGAAGAGGAGGGAAACTTTCTTAAAGAATGAGAATAAAAGGTTTAGGAAGAATGGGAAAGGTTTTTGGAAAAATGAAGAATGAGATATATTCTGCAATAAATACATGAATTAATGTATGTATAATGAGTCAGAGGAAGAAGGACAAAAAAACAAAGGCATTAAGAAGAGGGGGTGATGAAGAGAGGTGAATGAAACAGTGTGGAAAGAATAAACCATCAACAATGGGAAGACAACATTCCATGTTGACCTTAAAAAAGAGTGAAATGAGGTGGAAAAGTTGGGAGAGGAAGAAAAGAGTCACCCAGAAAAGGATTCACTTGTTTTCAGAAAAAAGGGGAAAGGGCAAGTGTCTTAGGATGAGGAAGTAGAGAAAAAAGTTCAAAATGAAAGGAGAAAGGAGGGAATGTGTTTTGAGAGAGGATGGATTTAGAAAGAAGAGAGACAAAGACAAGAAGTTTGAAGAAGAGGAAGCTGCCAGGATTAAAGCATATATATAAAAAAAAGCTTGAGGAAAGTGCAGTCCATCAGATTTATGTGGCCTGTGGGAGATTCAGCAGTACTGGGAATGGTTGGCGTGTTAGTGGGAGATGCTTAGGCAACAAAAGACCAGCGTCAGGTGTAGTAGGCCTCTTTGCTCAGTGAAGGAGACTGAATCTGTTCTCCAAGCTAAATGTGTGCAGTAAATGTACCATCAGTTAGTGAGTTACTAAAGCTGATTAGCTGATAACTTGGGGATGGATACTTCCCCTAGATGTCAAAGCACTTCTTTAGGAATCATAAACTAAACCTGTAGCTGCCTGGGCTGTGCGAACTTCAATTTATGTCAGGCACAGATTATTATCCATAGTGTTTTAACTGTTTTGAACTTTTACCATACATCTTGCTCTGTTCTGTTTGTGTTTTAAGATATTTTTTTTTGACTTAGTGAGGAGGAAAATAATGCCAGAGAAAATTGTAAGGATGGCAGCAATAATGGGCAAAAGTAGAGGTTTAGGGTCTGGAAAGGGGGCGAAATGGAATGTGAGGGAAGGATGGAGACCTTTTTCTGCCAATTAAAAGAAGCTGAAGGAAGAATATTGTAGGAGATGTATACATGGGGGGAGACAAAATGTTTTATGAATAAGCAAGATGGATAAATGGGCTTTGGTGATAGAAAAAGTCGGGGAAAGTTTTAGGAAACCGGAGGATGAGGGGAGTAGGAGTAGGGAGATTTCAAGTGAAAATGAACGAGGGAGGGAAGGGAGGAGGGATGAGGATGGGGGCGTAGGGAAGAAGAGGAGGGGGGCATCACCGGCCCTTTTTTCTCCTCCCCAGATGATGAGAAGGCTGCCGAGCGCACTGCACACCGCCGTACGTTTGTTCCCTTCTCAGTCACAAAGTGCCCAAAGCACCAATCCGTTCCGAGCTAAGCCGAGCCACGGCGTGCGTCTACTCCCCCAAAAGTAACCCCCGCCTCCACCACCACCACCACCCCACCACCGCCGTCTCCGACCGCCGCTTTTTGGCGATGGAGCCGTAACCAGCCTCACTGCGTTGAACAAGCGAGTGAAAGAACGGAGCAGATACGCGGAGACAGCTGAGACCAAGCGGCTATGGAGGAGAAGCGCGGGGAGGCTTGAGTCTAGACCGCACGCAAATCAGCAGCTCCACTTGTCCGGATTACTTTTTGCAACCTCCACCGAACTCTCTTGTTATTAACATTATAACAAAAAGGATTCTCTCTTCTTTCGTCTGACCATCAAAGCCTATCACTCTACAGCAAGGATGCAGGAGAAGCAAGCGATCTTTTGCACGGGATGCTGGAGACTAACGCTGCTGTCGTGCGTCCTGGCTCTGCACTTGATCCCGTTGTCTGTCCGCGGTAAGAAACTGCCCTTCACTGTCCAGTTTAATCACCTCAAAATGTTTTATTCCTTGATTTTTCTTTTTTCCCCCTTTTTTCCTTTCTTTCTTTCTTTTTTTTGTTAAATTTCTTGCTGCTGCAGCAAGTCCCTTCTGTGGATTCAGGGTACCTTAACACACTCCCACAGGGCAGCCAGAAAGGAGGTCAGTGAGGCTCTGATTGTAGGTTAGGCAACACTACAGTTGGGTGCCATATTAATAACGTTTTATTGGTCATTTTCTAATCAATGCAATCTGAAATAAATCTGATTTCGGAGGATGCGTCGTCGAAAATGGGCTTTATGTTAAATAAATATATACATTTTATTGACAGTAAAACAGCTGTCACCTGGACATCACGCTGTAGGGCTTCCTGTGCAATTTCGTGTGAATCTTTACATTTTAGGAGAGAAAATGTCCTGATTAGGTCACGGAAAGCTCACCATTGAACACAGGTCCCAGTGGGGATGTCATGGAGATGCTACGAGAAACAAAAATGGCATAAAGCAAAATCAGGTCAGGATAAACGCACGAGTCGGCAATTTAAGTCCTCGTGAATATATTATGGAAACACCAGAGGAGGCAACAACTGGGTCAATATAAACCCATGTGATACGGACACGGCGCAAGAGGAGGTGTTAAGACATAAGTGAAAATATTACCGTGAGTCTGTGGAAGGGCTTATATGGGGATGTCATAGAAGTATACGACTATATGTTCGCAGTGTTCAGTGTTGCAAGCACTGTAAGTCATCATGCAGCAGGGGAGGGTTTAAAAACCGTTTAACTGGCTCCAGCTTTAAAGACATGCCGATGCACCGACACGGCGGCATTTTGGACGTCAGTCACCGACAAATCAACTCAGTAAATCATCACTTTGAGCACTGCGGGCACACATTAAGCAGCAGCAGGAACATTTTTGGGAGAATTTAGAGATTTGTGGCAATGACAGCGTCCAGTCGATGCAGTAAACCGGTTCCCCGGAGGCGCACTGGCACTACAGCGACACAAAGGCGAGGATTAGGGCCGGGGGGGACCTGATGAATAATTCATGAAGGGATCTGAACGGACATTCTGATACACATAGAGGAAGGGGAAAAACATTAAAAAAGACAAGAAAGCTCTCTGCCTCTGTGTGTGTCTGTGTGTCTTTGTCTGAGATTCATTGCGCACGGCCGAGCTACATCGCTGTCAGATTAATAATGCAGGAGCGTGCACGAGATGGAATCAGTCTGGCGTTATAATCTAATATAATCTGGCTGATTCTTTTCATAACGCTCGCTGAAATTCATGGAGTGTGATTGTGAGGTTAAAGCCACATATTTTATTGTCCGCCTGTTTAATACTGAGCAAAATCCATAAATGTGTCTGGAAGCTTTCTACACATTCAGCAGCAGCCGAACAAAAATAATGACTTAACCCTCCGACCAAATTATGTCATTTCATTCAGCAGCCTTTGTTCCAGTTTCCCGCACTAATGTCATGGATGCAAGCAGGCGGTTTCTCCTGCTTTGTCACACTAAAGTGTGATGATGAAAACCAGTTTTTAAAAGATTGTAAAAGTTTTTAAAACCTTACCCATGCAATGTAATGCATATTGATGATAGAGCTTTAGATTCATTTAAATGAATATTTTTTGAAATGTATTTATCCCAAGCAAAGTTATATGTGAGGATTAATAATGCTGCAAGGCTTTCTAGGACGACTGGAACTTTTCCCCCCTAAAATTTAAAAACATTCAACTACATGCATCTCTAAAATTATTTGCTGGAACTATTTCTAATCTGGGCGCAGTAACTCAGTGGTGTCTTTGCTGTATGCACATTTTTCAGAATATTAAGCAGTTCCCTTAAAGGTGTGTATTAATATTACATCACGACTCCAACCTTAAATCTTTTTGGCAATATTAATCACCAGTTATTGCAGTGGAATCATTAAAAAAATCTCTTCCCAGCTACACTATCATCTGTTTTAGAGTGTAGGGGCAGCACTGCTTTGAGCTAAACATGATGAACACATGTATTCTTTCCCAAATTCACCATATTAGTTTAGCACCAGGTGCTAATGAGTTAATGATTCAACCTCTTAAGCCCTCGATTGTCAGTAAGAAAATATAATTCGCTCAGCAGCTGTTGTTCATCATCAGCTTTGTGCGTCAAGCTAAGAATTTTAGGGTAATAAAATACAGTTTGATCACCTTAAACTCAACTTGAGTACCAATAACTCATTTCGGGTCTTTTGTCCACACTATAGCAGGCATTTGGTGTCAGCTCAACCTTAAGTGGATGGATAACAAAAATAGGTCAGCTGATGTGGTGCAGACAACATAAAACAACCTTGGGCTAACAGTCCTTCCCCCTCCTCCTTCTCCATCCACACATACACGCACATCATCATCATCATCATCACATCTTCTCGCTTCACCGGTGAATAAGGAGGCAGCAGCTTGCCCCACATCTGTGACTGATGCTCAGATGACCAAGGCCAACTGTGCTGAGACGATGACAGCCGACTAGAAACTCGTCACTCATTTCCTGTCGTCTTTTTCTCCGGTGGCCATTTGCAATCCTCCTCCCTCTTGTGTGTTTAACACTTTTATGTCGCCGTCTCTCCCGTCGTCCCATCCCCTATGAGCATTTCAGGTGGTTGATATGTGATGGATGGCGTAACGGTGTCCAGCGCTTGTTTCTGTAATGAAACTCATGAATCTATGCAGCCTTTCCTCATCTTATGCTCTCCCTTCATCTCCCCCCCTCCTCTCTCAGTATCTCTTCTCTTCTGGCCTGCTGACACATATCTGCATGTTGACAGATTATCTTTGATGTGCACTGGGTTAATCTTCAAGCCAAATCCTCCCTCCATGACTCCACTAACCCAGTCCAGCCTCTTTATTGTAAAAAGCAAGCAACACAAAATTTACTCCGTCTATGCTCTGGTTGTTGGTGAACAATGGCTTTGCACTCGCTCATCCTCCACCTTTTGGTCTCCATGGAAACCACACACATCCACTGAACAGTGTGTTCATATCACGGGCATAATGTGCGATCGCGCTTTGAATTCCATTAAGTTCAAAATGTTGGTTGGATTTTTGGCTAATGCTTACATTTCTTGCCAAGTCTGGTGGTTCTCCGCCTACTGACCATGCATGCATGTGTGTGTCTGTGTCCATTGAGAGTGAACGTAGTCTTTCATTACCAGCTCTAATTTGTAGATGTTATCATCATTTGTACTGTCTATTCATTATTTCTGGATAATGATTTCATACTCGGCGCAGTGTTTGATTTCCAGTGGAGCCAATTTAGACAATAGTGTCTAAACTCAGCACATAGAAGCAGCCTTCATCTCTTCATGCCACCTTGCAGCTCATATACAGTTAGCCTTGGTGCTTGTTACATGTTCAGAGTTTGCACATGCACTCCAGGTTTTATAAGAAAGCACAGAAAGTGATGTGATTTTATATATTGCATCATATCTTCTATCTGAGCTGGCACGAGTGTGTCGTGGACATGCAGAGCAGCCAGGATTGATGGCTGACGTTTCCAAAACGCTGCAGTTGTGTATAAAGAGCAGAGTTCAGGAAGCAATTAGCCGCGACAAGCGGTCTTGTTAGTAAAGTGACAGAAAATGAAAAGACAGCAGTGATATCCATTTTGTCTTCCTTGAATCAGAACAAAGAATCTGTGATGCAACACTCTGAAGATGTTTTTTTTTAAATTACTCATTTTCAACTTCTTCTTTCAGCTGATCGCTTTGTGAGGTAACCCCAGCATATCATTTTCCTCTATTCTATATTTTATGCCCGATGCAGCCCTCCTCATTTATCCAGGCTTGGCTCTGACTGAAGGGGTACCAGGGCTTGTGACTTCACTGTGGCTGCGTTATTTCCTGTAATACACTTAGTAGCTTTATTTTGATGCTTTAGCAAAAGTGACACAAAAAGCTTTAACATATTAAAAACATGGATTGCATATTGCATTGGATGTGATGCATATCATTAACAATACTACTTGCCTTTTAATGCTCTGTATGAGACTCACATCAGTTCATATAAAGGTCACATCCCTCTGCACACACTCATAAACTGGGCTGCACCATAGACCTAGTTATCTGGTATTCCAGTTTTTAATCCAAACACAACTGATGCTTGTTTATCAGACCAGCTCTCTGTCATTTTTGATGTGCATCTCCCTCTCTCCACTACAAAAACCACATCTCCCTTTCCGCCAGTCACATTATATTAATTCCTCCATTGCTAACAGTTTTTGTGGGGCCTTCAAAGCCGCCTCAGATATTTGGACTGTACAGGCTCCCCTGCCCTATCCCAGCACTGAGGACCTTACTAATTTATTAAACACCACTTGCTCCTCAGTTATGGAGAATGATACTTCATATAAACCGAAGAATCCCAGGCCTAAACAGTCACCCTGGATCAGTGACGCCACTAGAGCTCTTAGGAGGGAAAGCAGAAGATCAGAAAGAAAATGGAAACAGGACAAGATTTAAGTCTCATTTGAAATCTTAAAAAATAAACTTCATCAGCACTTCTAGGTCTACCATTTCTCTTCAAACAGGCAGTTGTTCAACCCCTGCTGAAGTGAAGAACAACCAGCTAGACCCCATCTTACCCAACAGCTACCAAGCTATGTCTTAACTTTTCTTCCTCTTCAAAGTCTTGGAAAAATAATTTTAAATCAGTTTCTTACATATTTGCAACATAACCAAATGTTTGAAAAGTTTCAGTTGGATTTCGGGGCCAACTATAACACAGAGTCAGCCCTGCTGAAAGTATTACACCGATCTGCTCCTGTCAGTTGATTTAAGGCTAGCTGATATCAAAGCAACATCCCCTGTTGTTATGAAGCATACATATCCCAGTGACCAGTGTTGGTCAAGTTACTTGAAAAAAGTAATCAGTAACAAATTACTGATTACTT